TAAGGTGACATCCAGCTCTTCTAGCACTGCAGGACACTTCCCAAGAGGCCCACTCAGGTCTTGCCTCACCAGGATCACTGGGGAAATCTTTGGGGCTCAACCTCTGAGGATCAGATAGAGACAGATAAGGGGAGCAGGGCTTACCGCCATCAGCACTCAGGAGCACTAAAGCAGAGGTGCCAACCAGGGGCCCTCCCCATGTGCAGAGTTGAGCCAGTAGCCCCGTCTGGCCAGGGGCCTTGTTTGGTCCAGGCAATTCTGCCTGATGGGTACCAGTCAATGAACTGTATTTGCTGTGGAGCCTGTTTGGTGGCCCCACTTGGGCAGGGAGGAAAATTCACAGCTGAGTATAGCTTCCAGTCCCACCCCACCAAGAAGCCTGTCCATCCTGCAGCCCCGCTTACGCAGGGGCCCAGGCCAGCAGCCCTGCCCAGCTCTTAAGTATAGCTTCCAGCCCCACACAACCAGGGAGCCAGTACAGTGTGCCCTTGGGCAGCTTCAAAGCCCAGGCTATGGTGCCACCCAATCAGGGAACCAGCCTGCAGTCCCACTCTGAAGCAGAGCCTGGCCTACAGGACTGCCCAACTGCTAAACATTACCTATAGCCCAACCCAGCCAGGGAGCCACCCCTCTAGCGACTCCACTCAACCAGGGAGCATAGCCTGTGGGTCCCACCTGATGAGGGAGCTCAGACAGGGACTCCGCCTGACTTGGGGGCACACCTTTCAGCCTTACCTGGTCACAGAGCATATCCTGAGACTCCATCCATCCTCAAAGCCCTGCCTGTGGCCCTGCCTGAACACAGAATCCAGCCAGTAGCACCATTTGGTCAGGAAACACAGCCAGAGACTCCATCTGACCATGAGCAATCAGACAGCCCAGCCAGCAGGAGCCCCCTGACCTCAGAGCATAGGCAGTGATTTTGCCCAACTGGAGACCCTGATGGCAAACCCCATCTGCCCACAGCTGCTGCCTGCTGACCCACTCAACACTCCTAGCTGCAGGAGATCTACAAACTGTCTGACGAATTCAGAATAATACTCTTAAAGAAGTCCAGTGAACTACAAGAACACACAGGCAACTAAACACATTAGAAAAGCAATGCAAGAACAAAATGAGAAGTTCAACAAAGAAATAGAAATCATCAAAAAGACAAACAAATACAAATCCTAGAGCTGAAGAATTACAATGACTGAACTGGAGAAGCCAGTATAGAGCGTCATCAACAGACTCAGCCAAGTAGAAGGAGGAATCAGTGACCTAAAACAGAGGTTATTTGAAATTATCCAGACAAACGCACAGAAAGTAGAGTGGTGATTACCAGGGGCTGGGGTAAAGAGAAATGAGTTGTTTTTCAAAGGGTATAAAGTTCCAGTTTTACAAGATAAAGAAGTTTTGGAGGTCTGTTGCACAACAATGTGAATGTACTTAACACTACTGAACTGTACACTTAAATACAGTTAAGACAGGAAAACTTATATATGTTTCTTACAATTAAAAACTTTTTAAAAAGCTGACATAGACCATGATTTAAAAACCTACTTCATATGATTATTGTAAGTATTGAGCTAATACAAGCAAAACATTTAAACAATGCCTAGCACATAGTAAGTACTATTTAAGTGTTAGCTATCACTGCAACTTGTTTTTATCCCTACTTGTTGGTGTCACCAATATCAGAATTCCATCTAGAAGAGGACACCAAGGCATTGATGGTCATTACCCAGGGACTGTCACTGACTCGGTGCCATTTCTTCTCCAACAGACAGTAACAAGTTACTACTTCCCACTCTCCTGAAAAGCCTAGCTACTGCTCTGAAAGTCTTGGATACAGAGCCTAAAATTCTCCACAATGTGAATAGTTAATAAAATTTGTGAGATCACACTGCCATGTCCACCAAGAATGCACCTCTAAGTTCCAGCAGGCATCACAGTCTGACACATATCAAGGCTCAGTAAATATTCAGAGTGAATGAAAGCCTTAAATAGTGGAACCAAGGAATCCTGTCCATTAAGTATAAATCCAAGTCCCAATTTTATCAAATCATCATAAAAATAAGGGCAAAATGGATAGCAGTCCAGGACTTCTACTAAGTAACCCAACTGGATTCAGATGGTGATTCCTCCTCTGCTTAAAGAGAATGTGCCCTGCCCTATTTAAATCAGCCAAGACCCCAGCAAAACAAAATGAATCAGGGAAGTCCTCTCTTGTATCTTTCCTAGAATGAAGCTATACATAAATAATTAAGAAATGCACTATTTGTGGCCCAATTAACCATCGTATCAATATTAATATTAACACAACTGAAAAAACATCATTTTACTTTCTGGAATAAATGCCACATTCACAGGGAGATCTTAAGACACTGAGCCCTTTTCCCATAGTGCTGGCTGCATTTACACAGACCAGATGCAGAGCCAGTAGAGACGGCCCTTGGTGCAAGTAGAAGTGACATCCTGCAGGAGTGCCTGGAGGCAGGCTGAAATGACTGTCCTTGCTGCATCTGCTTCAAGCAAGCCCAAGAAAGGGCTCTACAAACACCCAACAACACTGAAATGACTAGATGCCTCCCGTATGTCAGGCGCCGCTTAGGATTATGAGCTGTACAGGTGATTCAGATGTGCTTCCTTCCCTCACGGAGCTCAGAGTTAGACCAGATAAAACCATAATAGACCAGGTAAGCTGGGAAAAGCAATCCTCTCCCCTGAAACACACACTCCTTTCTCTCCTGACCTTGTCTTGGTGCGTGTATAAGCCTCAGGGGCCATGGCTTTGCCAGGGTGGATAAGGAGATTCTGAGCTCTCTAGAAAAACTCTCTTTGCTTAACTGGCCTCTCTGCCTCAGAAAAGATGAAGAGAGTCCAGAGTGGACAAAACAAAATGTCAGCAGACTGGACTTCACTCTGGGTTCAAAGAAGCATCCTTTTGGGTTTTCCTCTATATTGACCAGCCCTGTGGTTCTCAAAGTGTGGTCCCCCACCTGCAACATCGCATCTCCTGGGAACTTGTTAGGAACGCAAATTCCTGGGCTCTACTGCAGTCCTACTGAATCAGCAGCTCTGGCGGGGCCCGGGAGCTGTGCTTTAGAAGTCCTCCAGGTGATTCCCATGCCCATTCAAGCCTGAGAACCACTGGTCCAGCTCAAATCAACGGCGTCGGAAAGAACACGGAGGGATGGTCAGAGCTGACAATGGATGCAAGTGAAGATTGTGCAAATAACTAGTTCTCAGTGTAAAAAAATTTTTTAAATAATAGTAATAAATAATAAAAAGAAGAAAGGAACACAGAAAAGAAACATGCTCAGTTAAATCAAACATTTAAAAAACCTAATCACAGATGGGTGGTGTGTCTTACAGCTGAGTTTACATCAGATGCTCATGTCTTGGGAGCAACCATTGTTCCCCCTTGTTGTTCTCTTTTAAACTGCAAATACTGGCTAGTAGACTAAAAATCCAGTTGTTTAACATCTGACTCTGACCAATTTTATCAGATCCTGAAAGCAGAGCAGAAAATCACCTAAAATGTAGGAGTTAGAAGTCACTGAACATTCATTTCAACTTCACGGTTTTAACGAAGCCAACTTTGGCAGTAAACCTGCCAATCCAAGCTTGATGTGTCTGTCCATTCAAATCATTAACTACTCTTCTGTGTCCTAAGAGGTCTAAATAAGGGTTAAGGCATCTTTTCAGCATTTTGTGATTTTTCAAAAGCCCCAAGCCTTTGCTATATGAAAACTGGCTCTCTCAGAAACACCACTTAGCAAACAGCCTGGCTTCATCCTCACGTCGAGGGAAAGTCAACAGCCTAGGAAGGCACAGGCCACACTCCCACACTTGTCTTTGTTGACTAAGGTGGAATTGTGAGCAGGTAATTATCCCCACCCCAGTGCCTTCTCCCAAACACTGCTAAGAAAACTTATTTCTGAGAAGCTAAAATCAAGACTTTGCTTTACTTTATTTAACTGTCTAGAGACTACCAAAAATATCAACAAAGATATCAACAGAGTGCTTTTAGTTTAGGCAATGTTATTCTTAAAAGGGAAAAGTAGGAATGGGTACTAGTGTGCCTTACTTTAAGAAATCTCAACTCCTCAGAAAAGGGGGAAAAAGTATAAAGCCTATTTTTATTACAAAAACGATTTGCCCATCTCCCTTGGCACATTTAAGATAACACAAAATGCCAAGATTTAATTCATCCTCAGTTTTTCAGGAATAAAATGACTGAAAAAATTAGCTTCATGCACATCATTGAAATCAGTGACTAAAACCAAGAGGAAGGAAGAACAATTGAAGAAATCTCTAATGAGTGTTATGGTTATCATTTCATTCTCAAGGTCAACATTTTTCTTTTGTTGTTGTTTAAAATATCAATACCATTTTTTTATTCACAAGTATATTTAAATGCTGTCTTACATTTTACAGTTGATACCCAGAATAAAAACTTTGCCGATATCCAAGATGCAGGGTTAAGTAACCTTGAAAATGGATACAAGGAAATATAAACGTGGAATTCTATTTATGAATTTGCTAATTTTTCTTCCTTGCTACCAACAAAATCTATAGATCAATTTTTAGCTGATGAATTGCTGTCACAACAGTCTTGAAGTCTAGAGGGTATCAATGACTTCCTTCGAAAATATTTATATTCCGTGTGTTGGGTAAATGACCATCTTCCCAACAGATACGCCTGTCAGTGTTTCTCAGACTTTTGAATTAAAACTCTGCACTAAGCTTACCTGTCATCATACCCAGCAATTCAATAAAAACTTAAAAATGCACAGGACGAAATACTCATTAGTTAGTATGCAAATAAGCAAAAAATAAAACTTTAGCTAAATATATATTCTTTTTAGGTTCAAAGCTCAATTACATAACTGTCACACTGTTGCTTATATTAGACATATAACAATGCTCTCTATTTATAAATAAATAGCTATAAAGAACAGTCATCTATAATCTAGGAGATCTTACAAAAGAAAGAAAATTGCTTTTTTACTAACCTGGGCTGAGAAACCACAGAAGAAACCAAACCAGAAGTGCACAAGTGTGAATGCAAAATTCTTATAGAAGAAATAGCATAAGAATTTGCACATTCGGAAATAGGACCACCTTCCATGAACGAGGAGAAGCCTTTGGAGGTATCTGAACTGGGCAAATGAGTAGTCGCTGGCCAGGACTGCCTGCAGCCCTTCCTGGCCGCTGATGCCAATGCCAATGTGAGCACCTACAAAGGAGAAAGAGGGACACTTTCACTCCGGGACACTTTCACTCCCCAAAGACGCAGCCTTTTTGAGGAACGTGTCATTCCTCTTGTATGTTATTATTTACGCACAGAAAACTTACAACTACAGCGTTTATACTTTTCCCCACATATTATCCCATGAAACACTTATGATACTTAGATATTTGTCCTACTTTTACAAAAGAGAAAATTGGCTCAGAAAAGTTTAGTAACTGGAACAAAGTTTGACAATTTGCAAGTGGCAAAGCTGGGACTAACCCCATTGTTAGGGCTGTGACTCTAGTGTTCAGTCCTGCACATCATAGCTACTTACTCCTCCAAACAGTGACCAATATCCTTTTCTAGTCTAAAAAGACCCAAATGATTTAATTAAAGACAGTTTCTTTTTTTTAATGAATGCTAATAACATTAGATGCACTGGACCCAAAAAGGATTCATTTTGGAACCACCTGGAAAATTAAATTGTGGTGAAATCTCCATTACATAATGCCAAATGCTGGACCTGGGGGCGCCGTGTAGGCAAATCTTACTTTTGATCATGCTGACATCATTGGCTCCATCACCTATGGCCAAAGTGACAGCATTTCTGTGTTTCTTCACCAGCTCTACAACTTGGGCTTTCTGGAGTGGGGTGACTCGGCAGCAAACCACAGTCTTACACATGCAGGCAAGTTCTAGAAGATCCTTCTCGTTGTCACTTTCTAGAGCATGGGCCTATGTTATTAAAAAAAAATCCACAATAAACAAGAAACAGTAAATGAGAAGATGTCATTTAAGAAACATTTCTTATTTCTCCACCGATTTCTCTTCTAAACAGCTGAATTCATTTCAGCAAGTCAATGCTGATTCAGTATCACATAAGCAACAAAAGAAATGAGTTCTGAACTAAGTGCCAAGACATTTTACAATCAAAGTGATAGACACAGTGCCCTTTTGTATCCTCCTTGACGCATTATCTTGCTGAATTGGAGAGATACAGTTAAATGCTGGAGCAGTTTCAGAAACAACTAAAATTAAGGAAAAGCAAAGCACAGGGCCAATCCACCACCTCATCAAGTTTAGAATGAACTACAAAATGATGGTAATGTGTTCTACATGATGACATTTTTGGTTCCTCTGCATTGTTGTTGTCTATATTTAGTTTTGTTATGGTGGCTGTTAATGTGGGGGCAAAGGTGAAGCAGATGACCTAGAGATTAGCCCTTGAAGAACATAGTGACTGAAATGAAGAGACACCTGTGCAAAAGGGTGGCATGACACTCGGGTCTCAGACAGGGGTCCCCAACCATTTCCACCTTTGCTCCTCTCCAAATACACACAAGTCTCTGCTTATGCCAAGGAAGGACAGAAAAACAAGACATATTCCTTTGCAATTACCTGTGCAATTTTTTTTTTAGAAAACATCTCATTGTACATTATTTAATAGACACATTAAGAGAAAACAGGAATCCACCTAAACTTTGACTCATCATTATCTTTGAAAGAATCTTTAGCAAGATGTTCATAGCCCATCACAATCTGGCCCCTATGACTTCTGCCTTTTACCACCACTTTTAAGTTTACTCTTTACTCCTGTCATGCCAAATTGCTTGTTTCCATAATTTGACAGGTTCTTTTCTTGCCTCTGTGCCTTTGCACTTGCTATCTCCTCAACATGAAAAGATCACTTCCTCCAGGAAGTCTTCCCTGATTTTCCCATGAGGATCTAAACATGCCACTTTGCTTCTGTGCTCTCAAAGCACTGTGTCCATTCCTCTTCACATTAGTTGTCATACCACTGTGAGATTAGCTCTCCCATCAGATGACAATCCCTAAAACAAGGACTGTGTTCTATTCATACCCATCCTCAGGCTCTAGCACCGTGACCTGGGCATGCTCAATGAGTGTTGGTGGTATAAATGGAAGGAGGGGTGCATGAGTATAAAAACATGACTCTGATGTAGAAAAGTATTACATCACGGCCTATAATTCTTATGGGAAATGGTGAGTTAGCATTCTCAAATATAATTACCTTTCTGATAGAGAAAGCATGTAACTGGCTGTCTTGCCCAGAATGGTTCCCTTTTCTACCTTTTATTTATTTTTATTTATTTTTTTGGTGAGGGGAAGTAACTGGGTTTGTTTATTTATTTATTCTTAGAGGAGGCACTGGGGATTGAACCCAGAACCTCATTCACACTAAGCATGCACTCTACCATTTGAACTATACCCTCACACCCCCTTTTCTTTTTTCCCTATGATCCACAAGTGAAACCCTAGTCCCAGATGCCGAGAAAGACCCAATTACATTCTGCAAAGCATGAAGATTTGAGCAAATTCAAATCATGATTTTTTTTTTAAAGCTTCTGACCATACTAGCAGAAATACAGTCAGTTCCTCCTAAAGGAAAAATAACATTTTATGGTTTCATAAGCTTCAAGCTTTGGAGCCAAGGGGGTTCTTGAAGAGCCTCTATCTTAGCTCTTTCTTTCAACAGATTCAGAGAGAGAGAATCATGTGTGTTATCACTTGAGTCCACTAACCCACCACACATTGGCCTCTCTGAGCCTGAGGGAAAGTCACAGCACAAGTCATTAGGGATCCTTTCCATCCTGTGATCCCCGGGCAATTCAGCATGGAGGCCACCAGCTCCAAGTCCCAGCTGACAAGCTTAGAATTTTCAGTTGCTATTCATTTGTGCAAGGGAGAAGTTTGTGTCATCTGGACAAACTTTCAACTAAGCTTGGCCCGTGACTGAGCTCTGTAACTTTCCATGGTGTAGAAGGCAACACATCATTATGCCTGAGATCCAGCTGGATGATGCTCTGAGCACTAAGAGCTAACAGACAGTTGATCACAAGGAGGGAAATACAATACATTCGTATCCAACTCCTTTTGTCCTCTAAGAAACTGTCTACAAGAAGATACATTTATTTTCCAAACTCTGAAAGTGAAAAATGATCATCAAAGCCAGAGAAAGATGTGAGATTAGCTCTTTGTGCATATAAATGATAATTTCACTGGAGTACAATCAGAGCTTTTGTTTTCCAAATTAGAAACTCAGAGGAGCATTTTGATATTTGTTCAGGATTTGGATCCTGAACTACATTAAACGTACAATGCAAGTTTATTCTATTACGACAAGAACCAGATTTCCTAATCAAAGCAAATTGTTTGGCATTGCTCTAAAATGCTGCTATTTAGAAAAACCACCAGAGGTATCTTAATGACAATAATTTGGTGTGGTAATTATATGAAGGTCAGGTTGTGCTCTGCAAATCATAAACATTAGCAAGAGCAATCATTGCAATACATCCATCCAGTTGCATTATTTTAATTAAACCGGAAATGTGACACTCCTCCCTTAGAAAAGCACTTAACCAATCCTGCTAAACGGTCCATAGTAATTTAGACAAGATTGATAGTCTCTGAATTTAGTATTCCGTCAGAACCTCCCCTTCACTGTGGCGGTTCAAGCAATGTATGAAGGATATATTAGAAGTTTCCCTTCCCCTTGGAAATCATCATGTATGCCCTATTTCTAGTAGCGTCATTTGTTTTGAAGACACGAAAAGAAGACTGCATTATGAGAGCACAAAAGAAATGATTATTGGGGTGGAGAAAAAGAAATAACAAAAGCCTTAAGCGAACTTACCAAACTGTGGCCATTTATGATTAAGGCATAATCTCCCGTCACGGTTTCTTCTACAACTGAGTCCAGCTCCAGTGGCTGCTTTTTTTCAAAAACTACATGGCCATTGGAAAAACTTCTGTTTTGTCCAAACAAATTTTCCTTTGCTTTCCTTAAGGAGAGGGGGAAAAGCAAATCAAAACCGAGTATCCAGAGCATATGCATTAACTCTAACAAGAGACTGGCCTAGAGGTAAATTCATTTCGTCAATGCTCAGACAGACTGCAGCATGAGATTCAGTTTCAGTAAGCTAGCTGGATAATTCTCTGTGATGGGGACACCACAGCAAATTTGCAAATTCCAGGAAGTAGGAGGGTAAACATAAGGAAAATAGAATCATTGGGAATGTTTTAAATTACCTAAAAGCTCAATCATCGTCTTGAGCTGGGCTTGAACTAGGGGCTCTTGATCAATTTGATACATAAACTAATCTGAGCTTCATGGATTTAAGAACCACTCATCTGGCATGAGATATTGTTAAATAATGGAAAGGGAAAGACGAGATGATGAAATTTTCTAGGAATTCCAGGGATTAATATAGAAATAAATTACTCAACCTGTAGAACAATGTAATATGATCCGACTCAAAACAGCAGTCGTCTAAGAAGCACACCTTTTTAAAATCTGACCATAAAGACAAATGTTGGCATTTACTGAATTGCATAGTCATTATAATATAATGGAATATTTTAAGTGAAAATTGTACTCATTGGCTCAAAAAATAAAATAAATCTTCTGGAAACGAAACTATCGACACCAAAGTGTAGAGGGTAGTTCCAAATGGAAACTGCCCCCCGCTCCAGTGCCCTGGATCTAATCAGCAGCAGAATCACCCTGCCCTTCTGTCTCTGCTGATGAAGAGGAAGACGTACGGTGACTTAACATCCTTAGAAATGGCATTTTACTCTTCTCTTCAAAATGGAAAGACGATGCCTTTAAAGGAAGAGAAATTTCCTCTCCGAAGCCCTTGGATCACAGGCTTTGAAGTAACATGGGACAAGCTGACATGACCTCAGAACTTTCGATCACAACTGGGGAAGGACGCAGCAGGCATTCCCTGAAGATGAGTGCCAAAGTCAGCCACCGACACTTTAGGGTACAACTTGCATATACAAAACAAGGGTCCCGGAGAGACTGGGCAGTGAGAGGGAGGCCAGAAAATGGATATTTGGGCTTACAGAAAATGGAATGTTTCCCCAAAGGCTCATCTTACGTAGAAGACGTCTATCTAAATGATCTTATGCTACGGCTCCTCTAAAAGAAGATGATGTTCACTGTACAAAACAACCATTTTAGCCCTCAGCTTTCTAATTATTTGAAAATGTAACACTAATTGTTTACAAGTTTAAAAAAAACAAAAAACAAAAAACAAAAAACCACTTATCATCCAGCTCAACATCTCCTTCTGCTGTCTGGGACCTAAATCACAGCCTGCATTTAGGAACCCCAGGAATCCAGAGGTTACATGCCCCTGGCTCTAGGGATAATATTATATGTTTTAGCAATCAGTCTGCAGAATCAAAGAGAAGATTTATAAAGTCAGAGTGCTATGTGTGAAATTTAGGGAGTTAGAGTTGGGGAGGGAGTGAGAGCTGACATGAAAAATCATTGCTGTAAGTGGGAGACGGGGGCTTTTGCATCAGATAAGCACGTCAGGGACTCCTCCTCCCAATTATGAAAATTTACAGTCCCAGCTAATGAAGAGAGCAAGCGAGACAAGTCCCTTCAGAATGACCGTTTCTATGACAGTGTTGCCCAGCTCATAAATTAGGGCCTCAGAAAGCACCAAAGGGCAAACGTCTCCCGAGGTTTCCTTTTTAGAGAAGTTCTCACTCGCTGTATAAATGACTCAATCTCTGTTTTCCCCCCAGAGAATGAAAACATTCCAAAGAAGGGTGAAGTTCATGAAAGTATTGGCCGAAATTCTATTTACTTAGGATTTTTTTTCTCCTAAACTGTCTTCCTAACATCTCCCATGAACCCTTTTCCAGGCAGAAAAGGGGCAGTGTTTCCAGCTCTGCTTGAATTCCCACCGCACTCCCTCCGCACAGGCCAACTCTCCCCGCCAGCTCGGGCTCTCGCGCCTGCAGACTTTTGCCCACGCTCTAGAGCTGTCATTTCTCTTTCTTCCTGGAACTTAGCTCTTCAAACACCAGCTGGTTCTCACAAAACAATTTAACAGGAGGGAAAAAGCTATGCATAACTCCCTTCAAGGAATATGAACTATACATTTTTGCAGGCATAAGACATAATGCTTTACCAGAGACTACAACTAACAAAGGCTAAAACAAAAGAGGTCCTGTTTCTCCCCAGCTCTGTAATGAGGGCCAGCCTGTTACAATGCTGGCAGGCAGAAACACATCCATGGTTGAGGCAACCTTGGCATTCCCAGCCCCACGCCACCACACACTCAGCAAAGCATAGCAGGCCTATGTTGGCTTATGTGCAATCCATAAAGAAAAGAGATGGAGGAAAAAGTCATCTTGTCAATCTTCATAAGGCTCTCTGTATTTCAACATTGAAAGGACGTGCTAGGAAACGGATTGAAACCATGACACCAGGTTTCAAAGGATACAATTCTGATGTTGATATGGGCAGCAGGCTTGATACCTTGAGATCTGGGTTCAGGCCTGAGGTCTGCCTCTGACGTCGCATGTTCCCACAGGGGTGTCATCTGCCCTCTAGCCACTCAATTAGCAGGTTACAGATCCAGGCTAGAACCCAGGTCTTCAAATTCCTAGTTCTCTGTCTACCACACCAAACAGGCATACACACGGAGCCAGCCACAGGCTACCCCCAGGTTGGGGCAAAGATACAGTGCCAAAGGACCAGTCAGGGGATAATACTACCCTGCCTACAGTAGGGAAAGGGAGAAAGTACATGAGCCCTTGATGTCAAGCCCCAGTTCCATCCCATACTACCTGTAAGATACTCAACCCCAGACCCAGTATCTTTATTAGAGTTTAAGAGAATGGTACCAACCATTCAGACTGGTTGATACCATTACAAAAACTTGGGTAGACGTACCAGTGTGTGCTAGAAGGTCTCCGATATTACTTAGTGCTCTAAAATTCTACAATTTATGATAGAAACTAAACTTACTAAAATGTTTTGCCTGGGCAACTAGAAATTAGGAATTGGGAACAAGATGCATTTTGTTTGGCCTGCATAGCATTTTAAAAAAACTCTGTCTAAATTTACGGACAACGTGAAGTTCATCTTTACCAAAGGCTCGACCACTCCCGAATGCCTTGTATGGCCCGGATCACACAACTAATATTACCTGCCAGACCCTGGAGCCACTTGCATTTGTGCACCCTGCTCATTCAAACAAATAACTTTCCGCCAAGTAAGTGTGCAAAAAAATACAATGTGTATTTTATTGATTAAAGAGGAGATGTTGCCGGCAGGGTAGTGGGGGTTGGGTATAGCTCAGTGGAAGTGTGTGTGCTTAGCATGCACGAGGTCTTGGGTTCAATCCCCAGTACCTCCACTACAAATAACAATAAAATAAAATAAAGAGGAAATGTGAATTCCTAGGTATATCACTGGGATACTACTTCAAAGCAGTGGCATCATGGTTTAATGAGTTAATTTTTATGGTTTAACGAGTTCATGGTTTAATGAGTTAATTCTTCTAACAAGAAAACATGTGATCAATGCCACAAAAGTGAAACATGGAATGAGTTCACCTGTCAGCTGAGGCAAAATCACATTCTTAGTCTGCTTTTCTTCCGGCAGAGTACATATGCATTGGTGAAACGTAATCAATGCAGTAATCTTTGGAGAAATCCTAACAGGATTTAATTGTAGATTTCTGGGCATGCCTTTCATACTAGAGCAGCTATGGTAGCAAAGTTAACCCAGGACTCGATGCGTCTAAAACATTTCCATGACACTAAATTTGAAAGAAGCCTATGCATGATATGCATAAAAAATTACATATCGATGTTTATGAAATAATTGAAACACATTTGACAGGCTTAAATATGAGCATTTATGTGATTTCCTCCCAGTGGCTACTATCACTTAGATCCTAGTCTTCTGATACACTTTTTTACGCTTTTGCATGATCTTCTACTGAACTCAAACGCATAACACAAGAAAAGTGGATGATGTAAATGTATGATTTCAATATTTCATCTCCAAAACCACGGGCTGAGATATAAGTAGCCAAGATTAGGATTATAGAGAGCACCTCCAATAACAGCTCTTCTTGGATGTTCTTTTTCTTCCTAATATTAAGCCAATGCATACTATAAATGTATTGATTCTTCTCATACAGAATTTTCTAACAGGCATTGCCTCTCTGTCTTAGACTCTAAGAACAGGGTAATCTCCAAATCTGGGTTGAAATAAACGTTATTATTTGCCAGTGGGTTCAACAGTCATGAAATAACTAGACTAGATGGAAAATCTTTATTTTTTCCCTCTGAGTATTTTTTCTTCTCATTAAAAAAATGGGAGATAATCTTTTGGCTTTTCCTAGTTGTAAAAGGATTATATGAACACTACTACAACTTCAAATAATATGAAGAGCCATAAAAAAGAAAGCAAACATGATCCATAATTCTATCACCCCAGGAGAACCACTGCATGCACATGTTCTCAAGAGCTTGATGGGGAGGTTGGTAGATATGAGTACAGACGTATAGTGTTTTATACATACACAGACATGTATCCATATATACACAGATACACTTTTCTTGAGGGATGATGTTATGCAAGATATTTCATAATCTCCTTTTTCACTAAAATATTACCATGGACATCTTCCCATGTCAAAAAACACATAATTACTTTTAGGACTGCATGGTATCTCTAATTACCTCCCCCCATCAAAAAATTAAAAATTTAAAAAAAATTTTTTTAATTAAAAAATAAGTGTGTGGTATCCCACTGCATCTATATGTCACAGTAATTAACATCCCTGTGGCTCGGTATATGAGCAATTTCTAATTTTCTATTATCATAATTGATACAGCAATGAATATACATGTATACGTCTGTCTATCTATATATATATACATACATACACACACTTCATTTATTTTCTTAAAGACAATTCCTAAAAGTAGGACTCATTGGGCAAAAGTGTGCATATATATAATTTTGAAGTATATTGCTAGTTTACCCTCTAGAAAGTTTCAACCAACTTACACAATCTCAGCAACAGTGTGTAACAATTCATATTTCTCCACATTCCTTCCACGTAATGACAGTTATGTCATCTACTTAGTCAACCACATGTAGCTGGATAAAATCTTGAGATATTAACTTCGGTTCCCCACCCCTTCTGCAAGCACCCCCACTACCACAGGTGACTCTGTTTACTCAGAAACATAGCTCACCTCAGGTGGATCTGACAGAGCCAAATACAGAGAAAACAACAAAAGTCAAGATCCTGTTTTCTGTGAACCAAAATAGACTCTGAAACTCACAGTAGCATTGTCATTCTGAATTCCAGAAATCTGGAATTCCACTAATGGGGCTTTTTGAGAGGGAAGAGAAAGTTTCTTCAAGTGTCAAAAGGACTAATCATTAAAGGAATCAGAGCATAAAGATACTGCCCTAAGCAACAGACTAGAAATGACCCCTTTTCTCCATTTCCCATCCAGCCTACAGGAGGGGGGCTTTGAAGAGGCGATTACATGCTTGTGAACCACTGAAAGAGGCCTGGGTGCTGACCCACACCCTAGACTGGTAGTGGATGGAGCAACCATGGAGGTAACAGAAATCTCAGATCAGTTTGTGGGAATCTGAGTGTGGAATAGTTGCCACCTAAGTATGGGGACATGGAAGATAGCAGAATGAAGGGATTCCAGGAACAGAAGTAGCCAGGTGAGAACACACCTCAGACACAGAATAGTGAGGAAGAGCAGCGAACTTTCCCAGCGAAGTTTTCTCAGGAGGATGAGGAAATCAGCCAAAAGGGACAGTCAGCAACCCAGAGTCCAGAGACCAGACAGGGACACATAATTGGGAAGTGCCAGATGCTGGCAGGGTAGATGCCAAGGATCCGTGACAGGCAAGGCAACTGTGCATCACAGACTTGAACTAAATTTACCCGAAGTACCTAGTTTAATTGTTCTGCCACCAGGCAGAAAAGGAGTTCAAGTTCAGTTTTAGAACAATTAACACATCTCAGTTCTTGCACAGCTCAGGGTACTCTGGGCTGTGAAGTCAGACAAGCTAGAAATGACAGAGCCTCCTTCCACTTCTATTTCACATCAAGTCAAATCCTGAGTCCTGTCCATTCCGCCTCCAAACAGCTGTCAGTTTCCCCCTACTCATTTCTTCCCCTTTCTTACAACCTTGCTGCCTTGAATCAACCTCCATCATTTCTAAACTTAAGTATTCCAACAGCTTCGTGATATTCCCCCCACACCATTCATTTTTCTATCAAACAGACTCCATCAATCCTATCACTAGCATGTATTTCTAAAGTGCAAAATTGGATTTGTCTCTCTTCTGCTTAGAAACTTAAACAAGCATTTCTCCAATGAAGACATACAAATGGCTAATAGGCACATGAAAAAATGCTCAATATCGCTAACTGTCAGAGAAATGCAAATTAAAACTACAGTGAGGTATCACCTCACACCAGTCAGAATGGCCATCATTCAAAAGTCCACAAATGATAAATGCTGGAGAAAAGGGAACCCTCCTACACTATTGGTGGGAATGTAGTTTGGTGTAGCCATTGTGGAAAATAGAATGGAGATTCCTCAAAAAACTAAAAATAGATTTACCATATGATCCAGCAATCCCACTCCTGGGCATATATCTGGAGGAAACTCTAATTCGAAAAGATACATGCACTGTAATGTTCAAAGCAGCACTATTTACAACAGCACTATGCAAGCAACCTAAATGTCCATCAACAGATTAAAGAAATTGTGGTATATTTATACAATGGAATATTACTCAGCCACAAAAAGGAATAGAATAATGCTATTTGCAGCAACATGGATGGACCTAGAAATCATCATTCTAAGTGAAGTAAGCTAGAAAGAGAAAGAAAATACCATGTGATATCATTCATATGTGGAATCTAAAAAAGAAAGAAGAAAAGGACACTATGAACTCATCTACAAAGCAGAAACAGACTTACAGACATAGTAAACAATCTTATGGTTACTGGGGGAAAGGGGTTGGGAAGGGATAAATTTGGGAGTT